GTGGGCGGCTTGGTGGAGGGAGGGGCCGTGGAGGGGAGGGGTGGGGAGGGCGGCCAGAGGGAGCTGCAAGCCTGGGATCTTCACCTCGGGGCAAGTTGGGAGGACGGCGGGCTCGGTAAGCGGCGGCGCTGTCTTCTGTGCCCACCCTGCGCCCCCTGTCCCCTGCCTTCCTGGGTTTAGCTCTGGGGCACCTGATCACCTCACCACCCAGCAGGTGGAGGGTGGGGGCACAGGGGTGGGGGGGGGTGGCAGAGCTGGGCCGGGCATCTCCCTGTCTCTGCCGTGCTTCAGCTCCAGCTGATGTTGGAGGGTGCCCACACCAGCATGGCCATTTCAGTCCCAGGACAAGCAGATCCCCAAGGCTGGACCATGTGGCCTGCAGGGGGTCCTCAGAAGATGGCCGTTTGGTGCACTGGGAACCCTGGGGGCTGGCAGGAGGGCGCTTCAGACACGTTTACCTGCAGGTGCCAGGTGGGCGGGGGGGGGCCGTGGTGGTGGGCCACCCTGTCACAGGGTCACACCATGCTGGGCATCTAGGTGCTGGCCTTTCAGCCCAGAGAGAAAGAGACTCGGGCCCGCTGGTCTTGTTGGGGTGGACAGGAGGTGGGGACGCTCCTTTCGGCTGCCGGGCCCAGGGAGGTGGTGGACTGGCGAGTGCCTGCTTCAGGTCTCAGTGTCTCCAGGTGCAGGAGAAGCGCCGGGCCCACCTGCTGCCCCTCCCAGCCCTCGAGACCCCGCTGCACCCTCAGGCTGGGCGGGACTCACCTTCCCTTCCTCTGTCCACCTGTGCCCAGCACTGGCATGCACCTACTGGGTGCCGGGCTCTGAGCGTTTGTGAGACTGTTCTAGGGACCAGGGGCCAGGCAGTGGCCAGAGATGATGACAGGGTGGCCAAGCTGGACCGTGAGATGGTGGAGGAAACTGCATGTGGAAAGGACAGAGGTCAGGGGACAGCCTGCTCTGGAGCTCAGCTCCGAAGGTCTGGGGCCCAGGCAGCAGCGGTGCAGACTGGGGAGGCTGCCGTTGTTGGCGGGCCAGGCAGACTGACAGGCTGGAGAGGGCGATGGGAAAACCTCCTGGTTGCAGCTGCGGCTGCAGTGGCAGTGGCTGCGGGGTGGGTGAGGAGTCCTGGCCCCCAGGCCCCGGGCTGGCTGAGGCTGGTTCCTGGGCCTTCCCGAAGCTTTGGAGGCAGAGCAGGAGCCTGGGATGCCTCCCTGTGCATCAGGCTTATCTTGAGAAATGCTGGGGAGGCGGGGCGGGCCCTCAGCTGCCCGTGGGTGTTGCTTCAGAAAGTCTGACGGTCTCGTGACGAGTCAGCCGAGCGCGGCACTTTCCTCGTGGGGTTCCAGGATGGGGTGAGGCCGAGCGTCCCGTGGGCACCGGGCTCCAAGCCCGAGGGCAGCATCCCCCGAGGAGGGAGCCTACATCCGGGCCTCCCATTCTCTCGGCTCCCTGGGCCGGCTGGGAGCCTCAGCTGAGGCGGTGCACATTCACACACACACCCAGCACAAGCACGAACACCCCGTGAGCAGACGCCCTCGTGCTCGTAAACACACACACGCGCACGCGCGCGCGCACCCAAGGCTGGACACTCAGGCCACTATCTAGGGCCCTCCTTTGATCGCAGCTTTCCTCCGCACCGCTCTCACAGTCCCCCAGTCCCACCGCTGCCCTCGTGACACACCAACTTGCGCCCACGCCCGGCCCCACTTGGAGGCCGGAGCTGGGCCCTGGCAGAGGCCAGTTTGGATGCAAACTTGGGTTCTGTTTAAGCAAAACTGCCACACCCACGAGTGGCCCTGCTCTGGGCCCCCTAAGAAGCCCCACTTGGCTGGGGGCTGGCAGGAGAGGCCCCAACTCAGTCCGGGGCCCAAAGGGCGAGGTGAGTATGGGGAAGTCATCCAGGCAAATGCCCCCTTTCTGCATCCCCCTCCACCTGGTCCCCCTCAGCCAGCATCGCACATCTCCTCGGCTCTGCCCCCTTCATAGACTCACTTCCTGGAGGTCCCACCCCAGAATATTACAATTCCCGGGAGCGAAGCTTTCCAGCTGACGGGGTGCCAACCACTCCCCCCCACCCCAAGTCGCCCGGTAGGTAGTGTTTGAGGCCATGGAAGAGTTAGGGTGAGGGGCTGGATGGACATATAGCCCAAACAGGGTGCTGGGGCTACAGCAGGGCCTTGAGCCTTGAGGAGTGGGGAGGAGGGCATTTGGCGACGTACCAGGTGCCAGCATGTCACCTCCACATCCTTCTCTGTAAAGTGGGGCTTTGGTGACCTTATTTTATTAGTCATTATTCGAGGCAACTGCTGGGTCTGGGCTATCTGTGGGGCCAAGGCCAGGCCAGGCAGGCTGTTAGGACACCTCCCATGCACTCAGGGGGGTGGGGCCCTCAGGACCTGGGGACTGTCAGGACAATGCTCTGGGGGGTACTTGAGTGCCTCCTTTTCCCTCCCCGGGGGCATGTCTGAGGCTGGCAGGGCTGCTGGCGGCCTTGCCCTGTGGCAGGCAGGATTTCCTCCTTCCTGTTTGTGCATCTCTGGGCCAGGCTCCAGCCAGCCTGGGCTTCTGTCCTAAGGGTGCAGGGGGACCCGGAGCTTAAAACCACAGCCGGGCATCTTCCCAGTGGTCTGACCTTGGGCGAGGCCTGTCCCCACCTCCCTGAGCCCCGCTTTTTGTTCCTACCTTGGGTGTAGGGCTCTTGCACCCAAGCGGATGGCTGGGAGGGCAGGACTGGGCCTGGTGGGGGCCCAGAGGCAGGGGCGGTGGTCCAGCTGGAGCAGGGCTGGCTGAGCCTCCCCCGCCCCCAGGTTCCCGGCTGTTAACACCTTTCCTCACCCCTGCCCTGGAGCGGATCTGGGGGTACGGCTTCTCAGGGACCGGGTGTCCCCGCCCGAATTCGGGGCCTTCCACCGCATCGCCCCTGGCACACAGCGCCCAGCCCAAGGCCCCGCTGGCTGGCCCGACCGCACAGCCGCTCGGAGTCCCCTCCTCCAGCAGCCGCGGTCCAGAGCCTTCCCAGGTCTGGGCGGACCGCCGCCCTCGCCCCCAGGGACACGCCTGCCTGCCCCGCGCGGAGGGCGGTCCGGGCCTTGTTTTGCTGTGAGTCAGAGAAGGCTGCGGGGCTCAGGGGAGTCCGGGCTGCCTTTCTGGGCCCGTCCGCGCAGCTCCGCAGACCTCCCCGCTGCTCTGCCGGCTGCCCCAGCCCCGAGCCCAGGCCGGTGGGGACCCTCCGACGCCCCCAAGCCGGGCACAGGGCGAGAGAGGCAGCCCCGCAATGACCGGTCCCGGGATGGCCGTGATGGGAGCGCGGCCACCCTGGACTCCGCCCGCCGCGTCTAGTCCCCGCGCAGCCCCGCGGGCTGAGCCCCCTCGGGCCAATGCCTTCCCCTCCCCCAGCCTCAGATTCCTCGTTGCTCACCCACAGCGCGCCCACTTTGCGGCTGGGGGTGAGGGTCTCGGCAGAACTGGAAGGGAGACTGCGGCCGGAGAGAGTGGGGTCAGCTGCCGTTGCCCTTAGCTTCCGCGCAGGGCAGCGGCTCGGTGGGGAACAGGCTTTGATCTCCACCGCTCCGAGGGCGGGGCCTGGATCAGGCTGGGACTCGCTCCCCCCTCCCCGCCGCGCTCCCCCCACCCCCGCCCCTCCCC